ATAGTTAAGTGCTTTATGAACCATTGTGCGTCAAATCAATTAGATTAGTAAGTATTAAGTGCAGCAGCTTTGTATGAAAAAGATGCGGTTGCTGGAATACTTCCAAGAAATTTTTAACATAAATTTGGGTATAATTAATTTAGAAGCAGAGAATATACATAAATATTTTCTAAGTTCTTCAATCGAGGTACAAATCAATCGAAAAATGTATGTAAATTTGTATGCATAACAGGGTGGTCCTTAAAAGATAGCCATCTAAATTGTGTATGGTGCACCCCTTTATTTTGTTCTACGTACCAAATAAAAGTCTCCACATGAATTAAAAATTATTAAAACAAGTAAGAAAGTCTAAGTTCGGGCGGAGCCGAACCTTAAATACCCGGCGCAAGTATTAAATATATGTTTTTTCCCCCTTCCGAAACCTTCCGCTAGATGGTAAGCCGAGGTGTATCAATTTTGAGTAAATTAGCGTCCTTCAATTTCGAAATACTGAAGTTTCAAGCATTTCTTAAATTTACCGTTATATGAGAATCGGCCGTTATTTTAGTCCGATTTCAATAATTTTCAACGTTTTGCTTACACGTGGCAAGTACAATAACCATACCGAGTTTGGTACAAATTGGTAGAACGGTTACTGATATACTTATATGTGATCATAAGTGGGCGGTGCCACGCCCATTTTCCAAAATTTTACCATAAACGTATTTCTTGGTAAAGAATTGTTGCAAGCATCAATTTTGAATAAATTAGCTTCAATCGAAGATTTTGTATTTCTCTAAATTACCGTTATATGGGAAGTGGGCGTGGTTAAAGTCCGATTTCGCCCATTTTCAATACCAACCTACCTTGGATTAAGGGAAACCTACGTACCAAATTTCGTTGAGATATCTCAATTTTTGCTCGAGTTATCGTGTACACGGACAGACGGACAGACGGACAGACGGACAGACGGACAGACGGACAGACGGACAGACGGACAGACGGACAGACGGACAGACGGACAGACGGACAGACGGACAGACGGACAGACGGACAGACGGACAGACGGACAGACGGACAGACGGACAGACGGACGGACGGACGGACAGACAGACATGGCTTAATCGATTTCTTTTTTCATCCTGATCATTTATGTATACATTTGTCTATATCTATCTCGATTCGTTTTGGCTGTTACAAACAACCGTTATGTGAACAAAATTAATATACCCTTGTGCACAAGTGCGCTCGGGTATAAAAATGTAGCAGCCGCTACCAGTGCTTGGAAAATTTTAATATAACTTTGTGTTTTGAAAATTATTCAACAAATTTATAAACTTTATGGTATATAGTTGATAAAAAAAAAGTTGTCGGAGGTTTGCGATTTTTAAACAGAACTTAAATTCTTTCCAACCTGGTTAGCGACCGCCAAAATTTTTTTTTAAAATTGCGATATTTTAGCGGATGGATTAAAAGGGGTGCTCCTAGATTTTCAAATTTTGAGTGATTTTTTTTTTTTCAATTTTGAAATTTAGAAAACTCCGATTAAATCGGATTACATAGTTTTCATACAGAGATAGTGTTTATGTTGGTGTTAAGTTATGACCAAAAATTTCAATAAAAATATTAAAGATGGCGTTTATTTAGAAAAGAGTAAAATACAGTGAACTATAAGTTTTTTTTTAAGATCAAAAGTACAACAAATAAAAATCAGTGGGAAATTCACGTTTGGCCTTGCTTTAACGAGTTTTTAATACTTAAATGCATTTTTTTGGACTTTTTTTGGATTTTTTGCCTTGCATTCGCCACCGTAGCCGAGTACTTAGATGTACTTAATGCTACTCGGGAGGTACATGGTTCAATTTTTGTTCTTAGCAACATCAAAAAAAGGTTTCTTCAAATAGTGGTCGCTCCTCGGCAAACAATGGCAAACCTACGAGTGTACTTCTTCAATAAAAAAAAGCTTCTTCGGAGGTGGAGTAAAAGTGTAGATCTCTCCATTTGTGTCACAACATCAAGAAGCAGAACACGAGTTGTAGGAGAAGCTCGACCAAAAATTGAGAAGCTCGGCCAAACATTTAATTATTGGAATCAAATATGATATACTGTTCCTCCCCAAATAACTCAGGATATAATTTGAAATCTATGTAGGACTTGAGTGAAATGAAAAAACCGGTTTGTTCGATAAAAAAAAACACCGGCTTATTTGGTATTCGAAAAAGCAAGATTTAAAAAAAACGCCTATAGATATCCAAACAACACAATTTTTAAGCGAAAACTAAAACCAACTTCAATTCTCATATAAAAATTTAAGAGTACCGTTAAACTAAATTAATATGGGACCACTAATTTATTTTATCTTAAACGCAGGCACTAAATTTTAAAACTTCTTAGCTTTCCATTCAGTTATTTATAGCAACCAAAGGCAGCGTGAAATTGCGTGCTTGAAGTATTTGTTAAAATAGCTTTGCGAATTTTCCACCTCTACACTTCTAATTTCGTACACTTGGCAAAAATTTTCTGCAAAGGCGCTTCTTTTGTGCGCTGAGTTCATCTAATTTGCTTTGAGTTCTAAATACTAAAAACAGCCACTAGAGTCAAAACTAAATTTAATACTTCCAAAGTAGTACGCCATCTTAAGTATTAAAGACGCTGTCTAATTTCAATTTAAAAAAAATCAGTTACTAAAAGAGGAGACAAAATTTGTTGAATAGCACAAAGTGCAGCGCTGAAGAGCCGAATACCTTTTGCAGTCATAAGGACAGTGAGTGCAGGACAAATATAAAAGAAATGAAAATTTATTTGAAAAAGAAAGCTGCAAAAATGGTGGCAACTGAAAGGGCACAAAGGACAAGCATTACTCTACTGGCTTTCGTTTCATAGATTATTTCATTTCGCCAGCGCATATCTACAGCATTGACACAGGATCACAGTCGTATATATGTATGTATGTATGTATGTATGTATGTATGTATGTATGTATGTATGTATGTATGCATTTGGCAAACAAGGCGGTCTGTTAAGCAGAATGCAGTCGAGTAGGGTTTGCAAGGTAACAAGGCACTCGAATGCGGCAGTTTATAGCTTTTTACGTCAAAAAGGCAGCCAACAGTTATGCAGCTGCATACTCGTGGTCTAGCAAGATTTGTGGGAAACCGCAAAATTGCTTTTCTGAAGATTTGTGCGTGATGCTTTGGCTTTCTTTTTGTTCGATCTTGGATTAGACTGCTGAGTGCGCCGCACTCAAATCATTTGGAGATTAGAGACACATGACAGGCTGGATGTTATTGAAGCCATATTTTTGTTTAAGTCGGCGAGCGGTAGAGTTGCCAGCTATTAAAGAAATTCATTTTGGAATGTAAATACTTATGTCTCAAAAAGTTAGTGGTTCTTCGAACTTGTGCTCAGCCATTGTTTACATGTGTACTTTAGGCATATAGTATGAATTAAGAGGGGAGGATAAAACGGGTGGATGTGCGATATAATTACTCGCCTGTTAACTTAAAAGAATACTTTACGAATAGGTCTGGTGAAGGCTGAATGGCTGAGAAAATGCTCAGTTAGCATATTTCGACCCAGGGATTGTTTTTCTGTAAGAAATTCTGTAGAATTTAATCAGATTCAGTTTTTGTGCATATAGACTGTTAGGCATTCAAAATGTCATTTTAAAATTTTTTCCATAAAATTTCGCAACATTTTGAAAAAATTCTGTGTTAAGGACTTTAACTGTTAACTCAATAACATCCTCGAATTTCGTCCTTCTAACTTTATTAGCTTAAAAAGTTACATATCCGTTCTTGTGAGTCCAAAAAAATTAAATTTTTTTTAATTATAAAGAAATTTCCTTCCTTCCTTTTATTTGGTACCCATATTTTTATTCTACAATGCATTGCATTTTTAAAATAAGTTTTGGAATTAATCATATCTTTGAAATTACAAAAGTTCTTTAAAATAAATCCTGACGTCGAGGAGAAAAAATAAAAACCCTACTTTAAATAAAAAAGTAGTATTTTATGGTAGGAGAGCATCTCAAACAATCTAGAAGAAATTTTTTCGATTTACGTCATTGAAAATTAATGAATATCTAAATCGCGGCACTAATTTCGGGATCCCGGATTGTGATAACATCCCGACAATCCCGTGATCGTAAAAAGCCAAAAAATTAACATCCCTAATACATATGAGCTGAGCTGCAAATAATGTGGCTGGCTCATACGCCATGTATGCACGGGACTGATCATGAAAAAATTTAATAAGAAAAGAATAACAATTGATAATGCGAAAATGTTTAGTCGCAGCGTGGTACTTACCGCTGCAATTATGTAGGCGCAAGGCGCTAATTGTCAATTTGTAGTAATTTAAAAATATTTTCTGTCAAATTTATTTGAGAGAAGCACACCTAAAAATTGTGACCGATTGCTGAAATCGGGTTGCGCGATTTTGTATTAGTCAAATCACAAATCCACAAAAAAAATTGATTATTGAATTGAAAGTTTTATCAAATCCTAAATATTGGGGCATATTCTGGTTTTCGTACGAATCGAAAATCATGAAATTTTCCTACCATTTTCTATACAAAAATTTTAAATTTTCGATTCGTACGAAATCCAGAATATGCCGCAATATAAATTTGTTATTTGTTTGAAGAATCAAGTCATGAATGAAATTTATGCTCGATTTGATTCGTTGGGCAAATAAAAAATAAAATTTATTTGTGATTTGTATCGTCGGCAACTAAAAGAAATATTTGTGATGTCATTCATCGACCGAATAAAGAAAATAATTTTTATTTGTGATTTGATAAGTGGAGCAAATCAATTTGATTCGTGATTTGCCAACTAAAAAATTATTATTTTTTATGTAAGACAAGCAAATTTTCGAATTTTCCCAATGTTAATCAAATCACATATATTTTTTTCTTTCGGACGAATCAAATAAAAAATCCAATAGATTTCCTAATTAAAAGCGGATTCAAAATCAGCCCAATTCTGTATAGATATTCTCCTTTCTGCTTCACTTACCAAATCGGCGATGTTCGCCACCTGTATGGCGTCGTGTATGACCTCGGCACGTGTACTGCCATTGCGCTTCTCGAACATCGCTTTGTCCACTATGATGGCTGTTTCGATGTATTTAGTCGCCTCGCGTACATCGCGCTTATATCGGCCCGCACCATTCGGATGAATTTCATCGATGACACCCGCCGAAAGATGTTTCGTGCGCCGTGACAATCGCCACGAATCTAAATTACCCGAATTGGCGCATCCTTTATTGGCTTTAGTGCGTGCCTCAAATATCACATGCGGATGTTTCTGCTGAAACGAATTGGAAAGGAGGTATGAGAGGAGAGCACAGTTGTGGAAAGAAAAATATTTAAAATGCTAAAAACTGGGAATTGAATGGGGGAAAGGAGGCAACTGGTTTTCGATAACAAACTATGAAAAACTCATAGATCTATGTATGTGTAAAACGTAAAATTTACAAAGAAGGAGAAACTAAATTAAAAACAAAATAAAACAGAGTTGAAAATGCTGAAAAAAATCATACAAAAATGCTAGCAATATTTTTTCCTACTACTTAATTAGCTTTTGAGCCAATTTCCAAAAATAGTTTGGCCTTAAAATCTCATAACTCTAATACAAAATCTACAAAATACCGTCCCTCCTCCAGCAAAAATTCAAATTTGAATATCAACGCGAAAAAATTTCAGTTTCCGCCAACTTTTACGATTTATTCCAAGCACATTTGCGCTACAAGCGCTTGTGGTGCGTGCCACTTAGAAGTCATGCCCAACAGCGCATTTGTTACACGTGTGTTTGTTGGGGTGTATCTACTTACATACATACATATGTATGTCGACAGCTTTGTTGAGGATCAAATGTTGGCAGAGTGATGCTAGCGGCGCCCGCGCCAAGTGTGAACTTTTGGTGTCAAATTTGGCAGCGAACGCGTCAGTGACTACTAAAGCGCGCTTACATTCACACGCAATACAAGCATATGTATGTATGTATGTATACACCCACATGAAAAACTAACGCATGTTACATGTTTGTATTAAAGTGCTGTTAGACGTGGCAATATTTGTGCTTTTTTTTTACGTATTTTGCCAGAAAGTCTTTTCGCTGATTTGCAGCAAACACTTTCGGCAATAAATATTGCAAGGGTTAAACTATGTATAAAGTAGAATGATCAAAAGTAGTATCGGAAAGTTTAATTTTCGGAAAAAAATTGCTTTCGAAAGCCACTTTGCGTATACAAGGCGTTTAGAAAATTCTTGAGTTTGACAAACTTTTCAAAAATACTTGCACTTGCCACGCCTAACAGCCAACTTATAGTTACGCGTTAGAAACGTCGCTTCATGGCATTCGTTTTGTGGGAGTTTTGTCGCTTCCTCGTTGCTATGGGGTGTTGTACCAGCCAAATTAATCGCTGTTCGACAATGTTGCGGTCGCCACCTACGCCTTTTGGTGAAGCTTGATTTTATCTTTTTGTTTTTTGCTTGGCTGCTCTAACCAATTCATCAAAGCATTTTTGTGCTTCTGTTTTTGTTGTTTTTTCTGTTAACACCAAATTCAATTTTAACTACTAACACTTAGGAGTGTATGTATGTATGTACATATGTATGCTCAAATATTTGCATTCTGTTTCTATGGATTCAATCACCACGCCCATCTTATGTTGCTGTTTCATAATGAGCAACAGTTCGTTAAGCAGCCAGTTGCTGCTGCTGCTGCTATTGCGGCAACAATTATTTTGGCATTGGCGACAGGGTAAAGAGATGTGTACATTTAAGCGTATGTACCTACAAACATGCGTATGTATACAGTGATGGGCAAACAAATAGGGACGCGACCTTTTAATAAGTTTTGGCTTTATTTCTTTTGCTTTCTTTATATATTTTATTTTTATTTTTGAACGTATGACTCCCTCTTATCTAACAATAACAATTTAAGTCAAAATTACAAATTTTTTGATTATAAAAAGTTGAAGAATTTCAACAAATGTTCATCAAAATTTCAAACTTTTTATTTAGAGATTTTGGGATGCATTTTTATATATTCAAATGCGCTTTATACCACGCTATAATGTATTTTTTTTTGGGTATTACTATTCATTATTATACAAATAAACAAAATTTCATCCGCAACATAAAATTCAGAGTTTTTCTGATGTGTATTAATATATTATTGCAATACATATATATTTAATATGATTTCAACGATATTAATTGTAAAAAGGTTGAACTGTTGCTGAAAATGTAATTTTAATGCATTTTTTTATCCTAAACTGATGGAATTAGAACGACGAATTTTGATGATATGGCAGTGTATATATTAACCTGTGCTTAAAAGATAAATTTTCAGAAATAATTATTGGAGTTTTTCAATAATTTTCAAGGATAAAATTTTAAAAGGACATTTTCAATACCTGTTCGTTCTTCTTTCCAAAAAAAATTTAGTTTTATTCAATTCCACAGAATTTTCTCTTTCATTTGGTATCCATTTTCATATTACCCCTAATTTTTTTAAGTAATTTTTTGAATTAATTGCATACCAGAAATTTCAAAGTCCTTTAAAAAAGTGAAATAGAAAAACGAAAAACCGCAGTTTTTTTATATTTGGTTCTAATTTTTGCGGTTTGTTGATTTTTGTGTGTGCAAAATTAACTGTTGAGTTTTAGGAAAACTCAAAAAATCTCTAGAGGATCACGCATTCCTAAATACATTTATTCTACAAGTAAAATAGAAAACGATCTGGCAGGACTCGTCTGCTTAACGGAAGGTTAAATTTTAGTACAAAAAAGTGCAAGTTTAAAGTAGCTAGAACTTATCGTTATTTTTTTTAACTTTTTTTTGGTCATGGTATTGTGCCTTTTTCTGCATATATGAAAATTGTCGAACATATGTATTTTGTATTGAAGTGAATGTGTGACACCGTCATACAAAAAAAAATTGCCAAAAATCAACGGTAAGTCGTAACTACTTCAAACTTGCACTTTAATGGGCTTCCTAACTAACTACAAATTTTTTGTTTTTGAAAATTTTGATTAAAAACTTTGAAATTTGTATGAACTACATATCTTAACTTGGTAAAATGTCGCGTCCCTATATGTTTGCCTCCCACTTTATGTGTGGAATATATACACATTTATGCGCTCAATTTCATATGTGATTGTGATACATATCCTTACAGTGAAGAGCCAAACCAGTATGTAAAAATACCAGTTCATTAACTAGTATGTGGTAAAGCGATGGTCTACAAGTTCGAAAATTTCTAGGTAGTTAGAAAATAAAACGCAATTACTAAGGTCAGCTGTGGCGTCGCGTGAAGTCTACCGGTTCAGAGGTGGTTCAGATTTTCCAAATTAAATCAATGTAAGTCAATATAAGTATTTCAATTCAAATATAAATAACAAATGTAAAAACCTAATTCCATTACAGAAAAAACATACATTTCCATATGTATAATACTTTTGCCATAAACAAAACAAAAGCATTTTAAATTAACTTTAAAAATTACAATACAAACCCTGATTAGAAAGTGAATAAAAAAGAAAATAAAAAATAAAAAAATATCCCCTGCGCCAGGAATCGAACCTTGCACATCAGGAATACCTCGTCAGCGCTGAAACGCAAACTGTTAGGATCCTAGTTCACAACTATTAGCTTTCCCTGCAGGGTAAATACATAAATAGTTCATCTACATAAACACATACTCAAATATTTATAGATACAGCATCCAATGGCGCTCGCTTTTGCATGGCTGCCAACTTTAACACTTTAATTAAATTTTAATTAATTTTGATGGCGCAAATGCCATTCGATGTTTACTCACTCAACCGTACATATGTATGTACATACTACATGTATGTATATATGTAGATGATAGATAGATTTGCAATCGCTTGGCATTTACTTTTTTGTCTTGCAGCTATTTATATTCAGTATTGGTGGTTGCTTGACAACGTCAGACTGTTTTCTCACAATGGCTGATGAATTTTCAATATTTTATGCGTAACCTTACATACATACATACATACATACATATGTACATATGCACATAAGTTATGAGCTTCCCTTCAAGGTGTGAGCGAATTATAATACCATGAATTAGCACAGCGGGCGAGGGCGAGAAAATGAGTTAGTACGCCATTGTTTGTGTACTTACATACAAAAATATATATGTATGTACTTATGTGTGAATATCGACAATATTGTTTCGATATCCACAGTTATTAAGCTTGTTTTGCTTCTATCAATAAAATAAGGCTGCAGTAAGCTACAATATTTTCAATTTCAGTTCAATGAAATTTTGTGATTTTGCGGTGGCTGCGCAAAGAATTAAATTCGGAGAGAAAATTAGTGAAGACACGGCTGACGGTTTCAAATGTTTTGAAGCAACGAGGTTCACTTAATAAAAACCCAGTTCATTGTTTCATTTATGGAGCATTTCTTCCATACTTATTTAAGCTTACAATTAGTGGCTCAAAGTACGGAAAGTTCACTCAAAAATGTTCTCTTAAAAACGAAAATATATGCATTACACCATTCATAAAAGCCTGAGAATTGGGAATAGAAGGGGCACACTATTGCATATTTGATATAAAAATCTTAGAAACTAATATTTTTTACATCAACGCACATTGTTAGATCCTCAAAAATAGTGTTTTTTTAGAGTTTTTATTTTCCAAATAAACGGTCGCACATTGGTCAGATATATGATATTATCAATTGCGCCCGATTTGGTTTGCCATTTTATCGCAAAAAAGACTTATATCTTCTGCCTCCATATAGTTGAAACACTGTGCGATGCCTGAGTTGACCAGCAGGCCTAGTTTAATAGCATGCCTCCCGTTAAGCGATAGCCGGTTGCAATTCTGATTACTTACGGCAGTAGAAAACATTCTAGAGAAATGAGTGTGTCGGATCTTTGCTTGTCGAAGCTGGGCCAGATTTGCCGGGCGTCCTACAAGCTTCTGGCTGGCTTC